TTTGTGGCTCTAGACATGTAGTTATCCGTAAGATTAATTTCCAAGTAACGCTTTCAGCAACCATGGTTCAGATAAACAACGTTGGCAAAAGTAAATTTTCTGCCTGAAGAAAAATATCCAGCTGTATTTCAGAAGGAATAAAGGTCATATCACATGGACAGAAAATCATTGTGGCTATTAAGATGAAACTGGACTAAGGGAGCTAAGCACAAGTATACAGTTTGAACTGCAGATAACATTTCTGTGCCTGATAGCAACCTACAAAGCCTTGAGAGACAATTTGTGGAAGAAGAATTGGGGGCCAGGGGAGGGAAGAATTTAAACTCCTCGCCAACAAGAACATTATCAACACTAATTAGGAAAAGAAACAAATGAATGAAAACCCCAAAAGGTATTCTAAAAGGGTATTACTTTGCTAGCGAGGAGTTGGTTGCAGGCATATGTTTTGAATTTTCTATCATTCTATTTGTAGAAAGATTTGGAAGCAGGATTATTTTATTGAAATACAACGCCGGATTGAGAAAAGTCTATTTCAAAGGGGAATAGTTAGCTGGAAGGAGGGCTTTATCCGGCCAGCATTTGGGCAGCCAGGTCTGGAGACTGATGGACATCCTGAGCATAACTGGATGCTTCCGGATGACTTGATGGTTCGGTCGGGTCACTGGGGTGCGTGTGGTGTAGGCCAACAGAGCAGGAGCCCGATGACCCTGGAGCTCTGAGTCACTGAGCACTGAGCCTCAGAGGGGAACGAAAGCGACCCTTCAGCAGATGTGGTCCAGAGCCCAGAGCATTAGCTAACCATGGGGAAATGAAATATGGCAAATGTATTCCTGACAATAAATTTTCCCTCTCTGAATCATGGAAAGCTAATTTAAACCAAGCACCATAACACAGCATTAGAATGCTCTCAGCCCGGTGCCTCTCGCTGGCCAGGATCCTGGCTGTGGAAGTCATCCCGGCCCCCGGGATCGTGAGGGTCACATCCTGACTCTACTCCAGGTCCAGGGGAGAGCACAGAGGGACTGTGGGAAGTAGGTTGCTCTGGCAGAATCAGGGCTCTTGAGTCAGCATCTTACAATAGCTGGACGCCGATGATTATTTAATGAATGAGAGAATGGAGTGACAAATGAGGATCTCTGCTCTCCAGGTCACGGTTCAAGCTCTGGACAAGATGAACTGCCTGCAGTTCCCTGGAATGCCCCCCCGCCCCCAGTGTTTCTCTGCACCTTGACCCCTGCTATTCCGTGTGCGGGAAATACTCTTCTCCTCCCACCCCTGCTAAACGACGTCTCCAGGGCCACCTCATCTAGGACGCCTTCCGGGTTGGCTCCACACCTCACTCCAGGCTGAGCCCTCTCTCTTCCGTGCCCAGCCACATCCCAGCACTCACTACAGCCCCAGGACGTGAGCATCTTGCTCACCAGTCGGTGAGCTTCCTGTGAGCTCAGGCTTATCTTCTTTCTAGGGTTCAGACTTACTAAGTGCCACACACCTAGCACGTGACAGCACGTGATATATGACACACGACAGGCCGGCCATAGGCTGTGTTCGAGGACAGCAGTATACCCCGGAGGTAGGCGTATTACAATCCCCGTTTTACAGATGAGGCCCGAGGTTGGGTGGTCTGTTGAAGGCCCCCTCATCAGTAAGTGGTCTGTTCAATGCCTGTGGTAGGCAGAAAAAGGGCCCCCCAAAGAGGCCCACGTCCTAATCCTCGGAACCTGTGAATATGTCACCTCACATGGCAAAAGGGACTTTGAAGATGTGATTAAGTTAAGGAGTTGGGGAGGATCGATTCTCCTGAATGGTCTGGGTAGGTGCAATAGGATCACAGGGCCCTTATAAAAGGGGGACAGGAGGGTCAGACACAGAGAAGAAGATGGGACAATAGAAGGAAAAGCCAGAGAGGGAGAGAGATTGGCAGATGCGTGCTGCTGGCCTTGAAGATGGGGATGGGGGGGGCGGTGGTGAGTCCAGGAATGCAGGTGCCTCGGGAGGCTGGAAGAGGCACAGAAATGTCCTCTCCCCTAGAGCCTGTGAAAGTAACGCTGCCCTGCCAACATCATTTTAGGACTTCCAACCCGCAGAACCGTAAGATGACAAACTGGTGTCATCATAAGCCACTACGTCTGTGGGGATTTGTTAGCAGCCCCAGGAAACTCGTACAGTGCCCTTGACCTAGACAGCAGGGCAGCTGCTCAGACATGGAAGGAAAGGAGCATACTGCATTCACAGAGGAGGTGGGCAAAGGCCCTTCTGAGGAGGTGTGGAGGGCCGCGGCTGGCTCTGCCCTCCCCACCCCGAGGAAGTCTGCACGGCAATCAGAAGGACCGAGAAAGGATTGGCTGAAGGGCACTGAGCCCTGGGAAGTCACGAGCCTGAGGTGGGTCCCCCCAAGCTTGTCCCTTCCAGGAACTCTGAGCACCCCTGATGCCAGGGAGGCTTAGTCTGCGGGCCGTGACCCTCTCACAGCAAACGTACCACGGCCCGGGCAAAAGCCTCCTCAGTCCTCAGGGGGAGGGCCGGAAGAGAAGAGGCAGGCTGGGGGCTCCAGAGCACTGGCCTTCCTCAGCAGGGGCACCGGCCCCCAGGCAGTCAGGCCTCCAGCCTCGCTGTCAGCCACCGGGATGCAGGTAGCTTCCTACTGCTCTTACTTTGGAAAAGCTCAGAGCGTGAGTCGGGTTGTCAGTTTGCCTGCCTGTTTGGCGTGCGCACTCTCTCCGGTCAGGCAGCTTGAGAAGGACTCATCTGATGAGATAATACACACCAGCCTTGGTCACCAAGAATCTGAGGCCTGCGGCCAGCTGAGTCACACAGTGGTGGTGGCTCAGAGAGAGCCGTGGAGTCCATCTGACCTCACTTTGGAGATGGGGCCAGACGCTGTAATATAGCAGGGCACCCAAGAGCACATTTTTCTCCAAAAGCTCCAAGTGCTGTGTGTGCTCTGGCCACAGAATGCTTTTTTGGAAGGGAACATTAGAACAGCCCCTGTAACTCAAGAAGGGGGAGATTACTGAGTCCGGAGAAAGGCTGGGAAGGAATGGCCACTCGGGATGCTTTAGGCCACAAGGATTTGGCCTGCAGCAACAGCCACTGTCCCAAAGTGACCTCACTGGGCTAAAAGGCGTCTGAAGTCACGAAACCATCAGAGCCCATCCGACCACCTGACACGTGTACAGTGAATGCCTTCTTTGTGCTTGTCATCGCAAGGCCGGCACCCCGTGTGCGATCGAGAGACCCTACCCTGGCCTGGGGGCCCCATGGCCCAGCCGGTGAGGCGGCCAGGACGGAGGGCTGGTCAGGGTCCTGAGATGAAGCACAAGGCCCCAGATACCACAGGCCTCCTCCTTCCGTGCCCAGGTGGATTCACGAAGCCTGAGGAGCACTGGGAGAACTCCTCACAGATACGATGAACAGGCTGCATCAGCCCCTTGTGGCTGCATTCATGCTGCTCCTTCTTGCCCCTCAGGGAGGTCCAAGTACAGAGGGGCATCTTTGGCTGGTGGGGCAGTGGCTCCATGACAGGACCCGACCCTCAGAAACGTCTGTCCCTGTTCTCCCTGCTTGCTCACCGCTTTCACATCACACTGAAACCAAGCTTTGAGGACCAGTCATCATTTTCTGTCCTAGTTTACTGTCCTCATCACTCCTGAAACCGAAACCTCACAATGAAAGTCTGACAAAGGCCCATATCGGCTTTCCCTCCCCCTGGGGCTTACCTGGCTCTCTGCCTGGCTGACCACAGTGGCCTTGCCATAGCTGGTGTCCCTGGCCAGGCCTGAGGTCACCTCTGAAAGGCAGCGGCAGGAGGGAGAATGACAAGGCAGGGTGGGGACCGCACTCTTAGAAAGTGCTCTCCATGGGATTTATTGCTGGAATCCCAGAGCTGGAAAGAGGCAGCAAACCCTGGGGTGGGGAGTCCACTGGGTCCTTGCTGTTCCCCAGGCCCTGGACCTTTGGCTCCAGAAGATGGGTCAAAAGAGGAGAGACATGCCTAGAGGACCGATAATTCCCTCTTTTGCATCCAAGCTTCCGTTTGACTGTGGAGCTCCTGTGGAACTTTGTTCTAGACCTGGTTCTTTGGTGCGACTGCCCAGCCTGTGTTCTATAACACTGCCTTTGGGTCAACTGGCCTGGGTTCAAATCCCAGCCTCACAACCTCACGAAACTGACTTCCAGTCTCTGAATTTGAGCTTCACTTTCTCTAAACTGTAGTCATTGTCCCTATCTCTAATGTTGGGAGTTAGAGGGGAAAAGCCATACGGAGCATCTGGCCCAGCATCCCCTACACAGGAAGCAGTGAGTGGACAGCCTCTAATTACCCCAGCAGCTGCTTCCTGACTAACTGCCCATCGGGGCACCTTTTCTGGAACACACAAGTCTATCCCTCTGCTTTTAGAACCAAAATGGCTTTCAAGGCTCTTAGACACCTGTGTCCGTGTTCTTCCTCTGAGCCCTGGTGTACAGGCTGCCCATCGCAGCAGTCCCTTCCCTGTACCTTCCCATCCGAGGGCCAGCTTGCTGCTCCTTGTGTCAGGAGCAACCTCTCCCTGTCCTTCCTGGTCACAGACTACTCATGCATCAAGTCTGCAGTGACTTTCTCTTTGGCAACGCCAGGCTTTGGTTGGGGTCCTTCTTTGAGCACCAAGAAGCACTTACACATAATCAGAGTGGATGGAAGGTTCTGTCTGCCCGACTACCTGTGAAGCTATCTGAGACCAGGAGTCATGGCTGATTCTGCCCTGTCACTCCCTTGGCCACACAGTAGGTGCTCACGCATCCCTCCTCATTGGACCGCATTGAGCCCTCAGGACAGGCTCTGGGCAGCACCGTTTTTGCCTGCCTGGTGCCCGGCATGGCCCCAGACCTACCAGGAAGCCACTCACTGTCGCTGAATGGAGGGAAGCTTTGTCGATGGCGCACTGCAGGAGTGATGCTTCTGGAAACAGAGCGAGCTCCCCAGCCCCACTGCTCTGCGCCCTCCGGTGGCAGCCACCTACCTGGTCCCCAGAGTGTGACGCACTGCTGCTCGTGGGTCTGACAGATGCCATTGTAGCAGTAGCCGTCCACCCCCTGACAAGGGTGCCCGTCATGCAGGTACACGTTGGCGGGGCAGTGTGGGCTGGCTCCCGTGCAGAACTCTGGGAGGTCACAGGAGTTGCTGGAGTCCCTGCATGCTGTCCCCGCAGGTTTCAGCTGGAAGAAGAGGCTGTTTATGGAATGTGTGCTGCAGGAGACGGGGAGCAGCTTCCCGGCAGCACCCGGGGGCAGAACGGAGCAAGGCCATCCTCATGAAGTCCACATAAAAGGGCAAGGATTCCACAGCAAGAGACACATAGAGAGTCATTAAACAGAATCTTGCTCTGGGCTCTGGGGTTCACCTTTCCACTATGGGGGTGCAATCAAGAGCTGCTTTTTAATTTCATGCAATATTAGGGTTTTCTGCTGAGCGGACGAGCTGATGGCTGGCACCTGTCCCCCCAGGGGAGGAGTGGGAAGGGAGTGCTGGCTGATGGGCCCCTTCATTCTGAAGAAGATCTCTGGTGGCCAACACTGTCACGTGTTTTATGATGATGTGCGTACTTAACGGTGTTACCGCTGTGGCCCAGATGACAAAAATCATCCAAGGGCCTGGTCACAATAATTTTTCACTTTGTCATCAAATCATGGAGTTAGAAACCTGTCTGCAGGACTTCATGGGGAGGAGGAGAGAAGAGGCAAAGGAAGGGAGCAACAAAAGATGCTCAGAACCACTGGCCAACACCTCATCATTTCATGGTTGAAGACACGAAGGCTGAGAGTGGCTGGTCAGAGGCCGCACAGCCAGCGACCCCCCTGCCCCCGTTGTCCCCAACACTCTCCCCCACCAGCAGCTGTGTGCCAGGGGTGCCAGCTTCCTTGAACAATCCCCCAGAAGTTAATCACAAGTTAAAAGGGCAGGAGGGACATTTCAAGCCGGGTGTAAGATGGTGCAAAGCACTTCTGAATCACCGGGCTCTCGTGGGGGAGCTAAGAGGGAGTTTCCTGCCAGCAGAAGGCCAAAATCAATTGCTTAATTAAAAAAGAAATAAAGTCTACCCTTGGAATCTTTGCATCAAAAGCTCAGGCTTCTGGTCTGTCAGATCTCAGCTCTGAATAATGAGACCAATGCTGCAATGGCCCAAGTAAACCCAGTCATGGCGGCAAGGATAGGCAAGGTAGGAAAGTGCCGCGGCGGGCCGGGCCGGCCAGCACCTTGTGTTAGGAAGACGTCAAGATGGGGATGTTGACCTAAGACCCCTGGAGCAGCCCACAGGGTTTCTTAGCCCAGTGGGCAGATGCTCCCCGCTCTCCACGTGTTCCCATTAGGGTGAGGGGACGTCATGCACCTCCAATAGCACAACATGGGCATGTTTAACACTGAGCCGGAGAATTCTGGCACAGTCGCTTTCAACCCACAAATAAGTAACTTACCACAGATGACTCAGCACTGAAGTGTGCATTTCTCACAAAGATCGGGTGACAGTAAGAACAGGCAGTGGGGGGACGCTGACTGGTGCTGTAAGGGGTTCTAGTTTTCACAGCACAGGAGTCATGTGTCCTGCCTCAGAGTGGAACCCGCTGAACCCGGGGGTGGCCACGGAGCCAAGAGAACTCACCTGGCAGTCTTCACAGCACAGCCCGTGGGCGCACACAGCGTCGGGCCTCAGCGTGCACGTGGTGGCGTTGCAGCAGAGATTCAGACATTCCTGCAGGGGGAGGGGGGTTCGTGGGACACGGTCGTAGGTCGTAGGGGGCGACTACTCACCGAAGGCAGGGACCATCAAGCGAAGGACGAACCAGAGGGCCTGGCCCTTGAGCTGCAGACCAGTCTGACTGAGAGTATCTTCATCTGTAAGAAAGCTAAGCCTCTGGTGTCCGGTGAGTGCTTATGAACTGATGGGGTGAGTCCCCGGCAGGAGTCGGTAGCCCTCAGTGCCTTTCGCGGAGGGCCAGGGAGCCTGCGCAAGGAGGCTGGCTACTGAATCCAACCAAGTGGGCTGGGGCTCTGCAGGGAGCTCTCGGATGCATGCGGGGCTTATTGCTGTGAACTGTATCAGGATCACTGGCATACTTTGAACTTACTTATTTAAAAATATACAGAGATGTGTACCAACGTAACTCTTCAAATACCGACCCCTTTTCATCTGGAGCATGCCGGCAGGAAATGAAGTCCAATCAGTTGTGTTTGGACCACAGTTCCCTGCAATCCTACCAAATGCGGTGGCCAAGACTCCTGCTAGCACAGGTGGGCTGCCTCACCTGACAAGGCACCTGTCAGGTCTAAAATGCACAGTACAAGGACCAAGATCACTGGGCAGTCTGTAGGCTGTGCCCACTGATTTGCAAGGGATTTAAACAGATCAAATATTAGATGCATTGTTCTCTCCGAAATGAGAGAAAATTACCTCCTTTCTTAAGCTGTGCTTTGTAAGTACCTGCTTTTTTCTAACAAAAAAACCCTACAGGGGATGGACATCTTTGCTTAGCTGTCTACAAAAGGTCTACACATATTATCTACTGTATTCAGGAAGTCCTTGTACTTTAAAACATCCCAATAACTTGGAGTTTACACATTTTAGAAGAAACTGAATTATCAGAAGGAAGAGTTCATAGGGTCTTTGGTGTTCATTTATAAATGTCCTTTTATTTAGTATATGACATGAGCAGAAGAATGTATATACTATTAGCTAGACTGAAGCCAACCATGTACTATTTTAAGAGTGTAGTCGTTTACTCCTGAAAACCATCTTCTGTAAATGAACTTATCATTAGTATTATAAATGCAATTAATAACATTTTGTTGATAATCAAGAAGATTTAGGACTATCCTAGATCTCTGAACTGTACCCTGCATAAGACTGTGAATTATGCTCTCATTTGGTGTTTACCATTTGCCCCTATTATATGTACAACCAAAGTTATTAAATTTTAAATTTGTTCAAGGACTTCATAAACATCCGGAGTGTATAATATACACAATAAGATAAAAGTGCCAACCAGAAGTCATAGCTGTAACTTTCATGACAGTAAGGGTTTCTAACTCATGGACTTATAATCCTATAAAGTTTAGGAACTTGGTTTTTGTTTTGTTTTGTTTTTTTTAAAGGAGTCCATTGATTGCATTCCTGACCAGTACCATCAAATATACAGCAATGTCATCCTGCTCATTAAGGTCTAAATGGCTCTACTAATGGCACACTAACCAAATTACAGATTTCCCTGAGCTACTAAGTTAAATCAGCTCTCTGAAAACTGGGTCCTAAGATTCTTGGAGAACTACCTCCCCCCACCCCTGACAAAATCACCGAATAATATAAGCAGCTGCTCAAATGGAAACGCAGCCAAACAGAATGGCTTTGACTTCAAAGGGGATTGATAATGTGAGAAAGATAACTAAGTTTAAAAGATATTTGCAGGCTACTGGCATTCTATTGACTTTAAACAAGGAGATAAGGCTGCTTTCCCAACCCTGTGAGCGGGATGAATGAGTGAGTTGTCAGGATATCCTTATGGTGGATGTAAATCCCATGCCCTGTACGGAAGGCTTCAGCAGCCACTTGCCTTCATAACTGCCCAGGATCTATTTCTTCCGCAGTACTATATTTATCAGAAGAGACAAATTCTTCATTTGCTGATACATTTATTATTTTAGTACTCAATAGAAAAGTTCAACAGAGCCAATGAACACTAAGTCTCCAAAGAAAAAAGAGTAATGAAGCCATTAGAGAATGCTGCAAAAGCCCTGTCGTTCTTGGGTTGTGGGTGGTAGACCCAGATTCTTCATCACTGTGCTCTGGGGTGTCTAAGGTGCATCTTCTTGACAACAGTGGAGATTATATCCAGGAGCAAGGGGGCAGAAGCTGGGCTCAGTTGTACGCTGGGAAGGTGGTTCTGATCCCATTCGCTCGCTGATGTGGTGATACACCGAGTCCCTCTTTGGGGGAGGGGGGCGGGTATGGGCCAATATGAAGCATAAGTGTAACGAATATTTCCAGGGCCTGAGTACTGGGAAGCCGGGTAGAGAGCCCAGGTGAACTGAGCCCAGGTCTGACTAAAAGTTTTGGTCAAGGCAATTTGGAAACTGGATATGGGTTGTTACATTGTTAGATGCAGTTTGAAAAGCAAAACTAAAGAACTGCAAATTGAAGCAAAAACCTTGCCCATGACTTTGAAAGATTTCTTGGAACAAAGGACTTTGGATGAGGAGAATGACCGTTCTCTTCAAATACCAAGAAATTATCCATGAAATAGGACCCTACACACAGATATATATAGTTGGGAACTACGTGCAGGCAAAATAGGGCTCTCCATAAGGAAGGGGTTTGATTTAATCAGTGCTGCCCTGCGATACAGTATCCTGCCTGGAGAGATAATAAGTACCCTGCCAAAGCTGAATGCCTCCTCGATGGAGGTGAAGTTGAGGATCACATCAGTGGCTGGCAAGTTTCAGGCCCTCAAACATTTGCTGACGTGATGGTGGTAGGGGGTTGCTGGTGGGAGGGATGGTGGGGGTGGTAGTGATGATGGTGGTGGTGGTGGTGGCGATGATGGTGGTGATGATGCTGATGGTGATGATGACGATGGTGAAGGTGATGGTGATTATGGTGGTGATGATGATGGTGATGGTGGTGGGATGGTGGTGGTGATGGGGATGCTGGGGATGGTGGTGCTGGCAGTGATGATGGTGGTAGGGATGATAGTGGTGGCAGTGATGATGGCATTAGGGATGGTGGTGATGAGGATGACAGTGGTTATGGTAGGGCGGTAATGGTGGAGTGGTGGTGGTGGTGGTGGTGGTGATGACGATGGTGATGATGACGATGGTGAAGGTGATGGTGATTATGGTGGTGATGATGATGGTGATGGTGGTGGTGGTGATGGTGGTGATGATGGTGATGGTGATGATGACGATGGTGAAGGTGATGGTGATTGTGGTGGTGATGATGGTGATGGTGGTGGTGGTGGTGGTGGTGGTGATGATGCTGATGACGATGGTGAAGGTGATGGTGATTATGGTGGTGATGATGATGGTGATGGTGGCAGTGATGATGGTGGTAGGGATGGTGGTGGTGATGCGGATGGTGGTGATGGTAGGGATGAGGATGACAGTGGTTATGGCAGGGCGGTAATGGTGGGGTGGTGGTGGTGAGGGTGAGGGTGGCAGCAGTGCCCGTGGTGGAACTGGAATATGGAGCAAGTGACTGCTGGTGGTCATTCTAAACCTGAGAGTTCATGACTCTATGAAGAGCTGTCAAATTTATTTAGATTAAATAAAGAATTATGAGGACTTTAAATCAAAGACAAACCATTTTAAGGCCACATAGCCTCTCCTGAGAACTATGGATAATTTAAACTAATTTTGTTTTTCTTCTTCAAGTAATTAACAAAGTCTCTAAGGAATTTCCCCTTTGAATACCCCATCCCATGACAGTTTCAAGTTTTCCTTCACTAATCTTAAGAAGAGTTTCTATAGCCCCATGCATGAGGACTTGCTCCCATACAGCAATCACCCCCAGCATGTTGTGAGCACAATTTCTGCTGCTCTGGACAGAGCTGTTATCACAGATGAATCCCGGGTTTGGAAAGGGCACACAGACATTTGATGGGACCACCCCTATAAGCCCCATCCCCTAGTATTTATTCACTCCCTACATTCTTCCAGAAATGGCCAGACTGAGCCCCAGATCGGTCCTGCTGGTATGGGAAACCAGAGAGTCTTGGAGATGAAGCAGATGAAGGAGATTCTACAATCAGTTGCCTGTCTGATAAACACAGGAATCTGAGGGATAGCCCAGGTTCTCTGCACATTTCCTTCCACCGCAGAACCCCCTTTCAGAGCAGCTCTCCAGAACATGCTCTTCCTAAGCTCTCTCCAAGCCTGTCTGTGCATCCAGCTAAGCCCGCCTTGAACCCATCTGCCATTCCAGCTTGCATCAGCTCTCAGGGAGGGAATCCCACATGCAGACGGCTTGCGATACAAACTGCTTGCTTTGATTTAGACTAAACACAACCCCCTCCGAGCTTCCAGGAGGCACTTGTTTTTACCAGGAGGTCTTACTGTGTCCTGTCTTTCTCTTTCCTTCTCAAGATTATTCAGAGATTAAAAAGTGGCTGCTATCATTTTTATGTTGATTAACTTTATCTTGGGCCCTACGGAAACAAGAAATTTTCCTGACACTGGCTGGGAAACAGGGCTCAGTAAGCCATTTGCTGGATAAAAATGTTCCCTGCTTTTGCTAGCGAGCGAGGAGGCAGCAGCCTGGAGCCTCGGCTTGTGCATAATAGAGGAGGCTGTGGTATCAGGCAGAATTGCAACGCGGGCGGGAGCTCTCGGTTCAAAATGAATGTTGCTTATTCAAATTCCCCTCTGGTTGCTCGCCTTACAAAGAGAAAGAAAGGATGCTTATTAGCCCTCTGAAGCTAGCATCCCAAAGCTTTCTTCTCTGTTAAACTCAAAGCGAAATGCTTTTTTTATTGTTTTTGTCCTCATCTTGCCTCACCTACATGGTGTCCTTCAATAGAGAAGATCCTTTATTGTTTCAAACCAGTGCTATGACTCTTGTGCCATCATTACAATTCGAGAGGGCCACCCTGGCTTGTGCGGCTGTTCAAGGTGGCCGTTTAGGACTTTCCATCCTGAGTTTCTAGCACTGTCATTCTGCTGCGTCATTCTTCCATGTGCGTGCTTTTTTGTTAGCTGTGGCCGCGAGGCAATGGTCCCGGGACGGGTCTCTTACCTCGGGCTCCCCACAGTCACACTCCTCTCCTTGTTCCACGTAGCCGTTCCCGCACTTCTGGCCCCCGAAAGACTGCTTCACTTCTGGCAGGTTAAAGAGGCACATCCCCACGCCCTTCTCCAGGCTGACCTCCAGGTCCTTCTTGCTACAGCTGCTGAACACCATGGGGAATGGGAACCTGTGGGGAAGAGCTGGGCCAGTCAGTTGTCAAGGCACAGAACGGGCAGGTGTTCATGGCACCTGCTGATGACCCCTGCCCACCTGTCCACTGTTCATCTCCGTGAACAAAGGCTTAACGACCTCGCACAAAACAAGGCACGTTCGGCTACCTCCCAGGATCTGCTCCTGGACAGTGCCAACGCTACCAAGGAGGAGGTGCTCTATCAAAATAGAAATGATCTTTTGATAGTTTTCAAGTCAACAAATTTAGCCAGAATGTCATTATGAACAACTACTAATGGTTCTGTATGAAACGATACAATGAAAAATGGATTCTTGGGACCTGCAGCTTCCATACAGTATGAACACATACTGATGTCCGTATTGGAAAGTACAAAGGAGACCCAAGTACAAAAGGCTGTGTTTATCAATTCCATGGCTCCACGGACACCACCCTGCTAGAGGTCAGGGCCGGCTGATACAGGCGTGTGGGTCTACGAAGGGCAAATGACTGCTTCCCAAAGCATAGCTATAAGAGAATGGAGGTGGCCAGAAACGCAGGTTCTGTTCTTGCCCCCAAATCCCAGGACTACAGAGGGCTGTGGCAAAGCTGGCCAACTCCCCTGGGACGTTCATGTTCCCCCTTCCATGGTCTAGAGGGGCTGTCCCATTCCCTCACTCCAGGGTGGCTCTATGACTAATTGTTGGCAATGGAACATGAGCAGAGGTGGTGATGGGGAGTGCTTCTGGCTGAAGGTAGTTAAGTGAGTGTTCTTCTTCAGGTCCTTTCTTTCCCTGCTGCCAGTTGGGCTCAGGGTATTCCAATGTCCCAGGAGCTGAAGGAGTCAGACATGGCACCTGGTCCTGCCTCAGTGCTGGGAGGGAAGCCACCTGCAGCTTACAGCCCCCAGCTGTCACATGGAAGGGAAACACACCTACAGCGGCTACTGTTATCCAACACACGTGGGGTATCTCGCTCTGTCTCCAAATGCATTTTCTCCTATCTTGAGACAGCAATGATTATAAGGGACAAGTGTGCCAGAAACCCAGAGGCTCTTACTACCTAGTGAGGAAGCAGGGGCCTGCTGACCAGTAAGCCTAAACACCTTCTTTCCATGCAGACCTTTAGGATGACATTATAACTGGATCCTAATCAACTGGCCAAACCAACGCAAGCTATTACATCTTCCTGAAGATGACAGTCTGGCCACCATTTGATACAGTTTGGCAATATTTCAAGATCAGGATAATTTCCTCCTAATACACTGATAACACTGTCTTATTCCTGCCCCCCCCCCCAAGTGTTTTCTATCAATCTCAGGCTATTAACTCTGGAGTAGAATTCTTATCTATAAATAAATTGATAAGTGCAAATCTTGCTCTTGGATGGAAAGGCAAGAATAAACCAGGACTTATTTCTAGTGCTGTCACAAAGTTCCTTTGAAAATCTTTTTAACTTTCCTCAGCAGACAGATCGATTATAATTGATATCAAAATGATGCTGATATCAATTTTGATATCAAAATAGCTTCAAATGATGATCACAAGAAAATTCTAATTTTATCAATTTAGAAATGCTTTGTATTGAAAAGGCAATGGCACATTACACAGGGACTTGAGAGCACTTCTTCCCTTTGCAAAGAAATAAGTTTCATCAAGGCAAGGATCAGACGTTCTTCAATGCTGAGAGTCCTAGGACACTTAGGTACGTCAGGGCCTGATCCAGGAGGTCAAACATTATTCTCATGTGCCATGCAGCCAGGTGTTGTGATGAATTCTTATCAGTTCATTCTGGAAAGGAACTGATTTCTAGAATGTTTTAACAGCTCATTAGAAAAGACACTAGGATCACCTGTAAATCTCAGGAAGGGCTTAGGGCAAGAAGAACAGTAGTTGAGAGAAGCCCAGGGAAAGAGTGGTATGAATTAACCTGTTTCACAAGGGGGCAGAGAATGTCCACTAATGTCCAGAGGCTAGAGGGCAAATGCCAGCTCCAGTCCCAACTTACATAGGTCCTCCCATCTCGTTGTATTGCAAAATAACAAATACCTATTGGGCTTTGGGTAGATGACATTAAAGAAAAGGGATCGAGATTGATAAGGTGAATGGGATCAGTTTAAGTCCAGGATTTAAACTTCAGAGTGTTTGGGAGAGGAGAGGAGATCCTTGTTGGCAAAACCACATTTGTGTGCCTGTGCTAGATGCTGTCTGGAGTTATCCGTATAATAATGAATTTCAATTTCTCTTAGAAATAGGGGGATGAACAAAACATAGAAAAATCCTGACCATCATGGAGCTTGCATTCCAGTGGGGCAGGAAGGTAATGCATAAGGTAAGGGGGCCAAGAAAGTGTGCTAGAAAGGAACGTCAAAGAGAAAAATAAAACAGGCAAGAAGGAGAGGTTGTGTGTAGGAAGAATGGAATTTTTAGGAAGGCTGCTAGGGAAAGACATCACCAGGGGTGGGGGTGGCATTTGAAGCTCTCACCAGAAGGGTGTGAGGGACCAAGCTGTGGGCACATCTGGAGGAGGAATGTTCCAGGCACAGGGGAAAGCTGGTGCAAAGATACATGGAGAGATGTGACTGGACTAGAGGAATTTGCTCAGTAGAAGGCCCCTAGGCCACCTGAGTTCATGCCGATGGCAAGAAGACTACTATGGAGTATCATTAAGTGGGGGGGGGGGGGGGGGGGCTCTACCCTGCATGGACCAGGTACTGATAATGGTTAAAGGCATTTTTCATAAAAACTTCAAACTTTATTATTTTCCCCTTTTTAGCAAACTTTAAAAAAAAAAAAAAGATTTGAGAGAGAGAGTGCACATGCAGGGAGAAGGGGCTGAGGGAGAGGGAGAAAGAGAGTCTGAAGCAGACTCTGAGCAGAGCCCTACATGAGGCTCAATCTCATGACCCTGAGATCATGACCGGAGCTGAAACCAAGAGTTGGACGCTTAACCGACTGAGCCACCCAGGCACCCTGAGCAAACTATTTTTGAATGACAAGCAGATAGAGAATATCTAAAAGTTATATTTAACCCAATGGCCCTTCATCCAATAAACAGAATTTAGTGAGGTAAAATGATTTCAAATCTCCAAAGGGAATTTGATGGCACCAAATATTAGATTCCTCTAATTATAATACCATCCTAATCAACACATATTTGAAAACATTTGACATCCAAATAGCCACTGGTTACACAATGCCTAGTGAACAATTGAGGTCTTGGCTTAAGGAGTCAAAGAACAGTTCATTCATTTTCATGAAAAATGTGCAATGGACCATGAACAAGGTATAGAAGCTACTCCCCAGGATGGTGTCAAGAATCCATGGACAGGATCTATCAGCCCAGTGATTAAGATGGCTATTTCCATGGACAGGATCTATCAGCCCAGTGATTAAGATGGCTATTTCTTCAGCCCAGTCACAGGTAAAAGAATGACACCAGGAGGATGCTTGGCATGGCCAAGCTCATCACCCCACTTCCTAGGTACCAACTCTGCCTTTGAGCTTTGGACGACAGCAGAATTAAACCTTATGGGTAGGGGCAGAGCAAGATGGTGGAGGAGTAGGAGACCTGGATTTCCTCTGATCCCAGGAATTCAATTGGATAGGGATCAAACCATTCTGAACACCTATGAACTCAACAGATCGAAGAAAAGAATAGCAACAACTCTCTGAACAGAAAAGTGATCACTTTCTGGAGGGTAGGACGTGTGGAGAAGTGAATCTGAGGTGATATTTGGGAGGATAGACGGCGTGAGAAGGGGCCTCCGTCGGCCGCTTCTGGCAAGTGATAGAGCCGGGGAGCACAAAATCGGAACTTTTAGAAGTCTGCTCCGCTGCAGGACATCGCTCCGATGGCTATGTGGGGGGTGGAACCCTCGCTGGGACAGTGTGGTCTCAGGACCCTCGGGGTCACAGAAAGACCGGGGGTGCCTGAGTGCGGCGGAGCTCCCAGGTATCGGAGCGGGGAAGCCGGCTGCAGAGACAGAGCCGAGGCACGGGCTCTCAGCTCAGGGCTGTCATAAACTGTGATCCACGGCACAGTCAGGCAACTACTCCTCCAGCAGGGAGCCAACAAGCAGCAGATCTGGGGAGACTCCCCTTCCTCCCCTGGGAGGAGTGGCACGGGAGCACACTGCAGGGATCTGCTGGGTCTGGAGACTCCACACCGAGTCAGGTGCCAGAGATAGAAACACTCGGTCACAGGCTGAGTGAGCACGGAGTGTGGCCAGAGACCAGGGAGACGGGAGTGATTGACTGCTTTTCTCTGGGGGCTCACTGAGGAGGGGGGTCCCGAGTTCTCAGCTCCTCCAGGCAGAGACTGGGAGGCCACCATTTTCACTCTCAGCCTCCAAAGCTGCACGGAAAGCTTGTAGGGAACAAAAGCTCCCGAGAGCAAACCCGAGCAGATGACTTAGCCCAGACCCAGCAAGAGCCGGGCAATTCCACCTCCTGCAAAGACATTTGGGAACCACGGCAACAGGCCCCTCCCCCAGAAGATCAGCAAGAACAGCCAGCCAAGGCCAAGTTTACCAATCAATGAGAACAGCAGAACTCCAGCACTAGGGGAATACTGCACATAAAATTTATGGCTTTTTTCCCATGATTCTTTACTCTTTCAAAGTTAATTTTTTTAACTGTTTTTTTTTTTTTAATTTTTCTTTTTCCCCTTTTCAACCAACATCCTATCAATCCCTTTTTTTAAAAAAAATTTTTATTTTTCATTTTTAGAGTCATATTCTATCCCTTCATAGTAGTTACCCGTATTTTTGGTGTATATATATATATGTTGTTCTGTCTTTAAAATTGTGAGATACAGTTTCTCCTAACAGATCAAAATAGACCCTAAATCTCTAGTGTATGGCTTTGTTCTAGTCTCCTGCCTGATCACATTCTCTCCCCGTTTTTTGTTTTTAAATCCTTTTCTTTCTTTTTTCAACCAACTTCTTATCAATTCCTTTTATAAAATCTTTTATAATTTTCATCTTTACAGTCATATTCCACCCCTTCATATTAACC